ATTATTAGTAAAACTAAAAATATATATATACACANTACATATAAAAATAAATAAATAAATATAATGATTATAAAAATAATAATAATTAGGCTTTAAATTTAAAAGCGCATGTTGTATTCTATTTTAGCTGCATGTTACTCTATTTTCAAAATTTTTTTTCTCTCCTTTTTTGTAATATTAAGCTTTAGCATGTATTAAAATTACTTATTCAATTGTATTACAAATACGCAAACTTTTCGGCATAGCATGATAAGTAATAATTGTATCTATCCATGTATTCCCTACCCATTATCCAATAGTTTCATTCAGTAGCAGTAGCAGTAGCAGTAGCAGTAGCAGTAGCAGCAACAGCAGCAGTAGTAGTAGTAGTAGTAGTAGTAGTAGTAGTAGTAGTAGTAGTAGTAGTAGTAGTAGTAGTAGTAGTAGTAGTAGTAGTAGTAGTAGTAGCAGTAGTAGTAGTAACTTTGGACTCTCTGTGAATCGGGAATTTTCCTCTTTAGTACATTTTTAATGGCTGTTTTGACAGAGAAATCTAAATAAATATTTGAGTCTTTTAAAATAAAATGCAGTGCATTAAAAAACTCTTTTATTTCCCATAAAACTGATGTAAACCTTGTATTCAGTGAGCCATTGACTACGTGAAGTTCTTAACTTCCTAATTCAAGAAGGTCAAAACCTCTGTCGTCTTTAAATTCTGTTTGGAGATCTCGTAGCATCTTAAGGTTCACAGAAAGCCCATCCATCTATATTTGGACCACCTTCTTTTCGTTATTTCCTACGGCTTTATTTAGACCAGTGCAAAGATCACACGATTTCACACCTTGAAGAAAGAGTGAAGTCATGCATCTAGTGACAACTTTGTCGACTTCATCGTCCCAAAATTGAACCATTACATTTATTTGCCACTTCTGACAAAATAAATTCAAAGCTTCATCAAATCCTACGCTGATAAATTCAAAATGATTACAGTCTCGACTGCAACTGCCGCTGGAAGTAAGGTGCTAATTAAAACACGCTGGAGTAGGATACTTTATCTTTCTGAAGCTGTATTTTTCCAGCAATTTCGGTATTTGGGAACACGTGAGAGAAAAGAGTAGCTAAATCAGCGGCAGTGCAATAAGACAAATGTTTTATAACTGCGTTTAGGTACTATAAAATCTCTGCTTTTGTGACATTGTCTTGTTTGAGGACTTTTGGCATCAAAGATGCAGAGCGTGGCGTAGATGCTTTCTACTCCATCACCAACTTATCGACTGAAAGTGACTCTGCCGGATCCATTTGCAGATCCTCTTGATGAGTCTGACTAGTGTGGGCATAAGGAACGTTACTAGCACCTGAAACAGCAAAAAAATAAGTAATAGCAAAATTAATCAGTCTCTGTTTTATGTTATACTAAATCGACACTAGAGTCTCGCGGGCGTCTCTACAGCCGTGTCAAGCTGGAAGTCTGGTCCAACCAACTTGCACGTCGTCTGTTATCTGCTTGCAGGTCATACATTCATCCAGTGAAATCTTAAATGTATAAGTATATTCCCACGCTCGCTGAGTAGCACCCAGGAGTTCCATAAAAAGCATAATTCCAAATAGCACTTACCAGATGCACATGTTCTTCGTAAGAAAAATTCTGATACAGGCGGAGTTTTTTGCTGGGCTTGAAGCAGCTTACAATGCTTTGGCCCTTTTACAGTGGCTGATAAATTGCATTGCATGTAAATTTCAAATGTATACTTACAAGTAGCTTTTGGCCTCACATGAGCGTTATTGCATCGCAATACGCATATTAATAATATATCACCTTTAAATATACGCATTTATACTAAATTTTACGTTTAGCGGAAAAAATTGCCATACATTTGTCAATGCTGCGCGATTCTAAAACCTTCCCGTATGCTTGGTGGATTTCCCGACTTTTTTCCGGTTTTTCCTGTTTTCCTAGTCACTAGACACCCTGTAATAGGAGGCAAGAGCTAATTAAATAAATAAAACATGCCATTGATGCGTCATTTTAGTTAATATCAGCAATCATTCATCGATAGTAGGTGATTGATTAAAGGTTACTGATAGGGATTTTCCTAGGTATCGAGCACGGTAAAGTAGCTGTCCTCGGGTAGTTGAGTCGAGCTTTTATTTTTGAGTTGGTTCTGTTGTTTTTAGCTCAATAATTAGATAGTTCTAGACATGGATGAAAGCGTTGGTTTTGTGGGGCTCATGACTTATCAGAGCGAAAACTTTTTCTGAATCTTACTGACCAGAAATGGATCAAGATCTCAGCTGAATGGATGTAATTGGATGGCTACGTAGATTCTGAGGAGACCGCGGCCCTAGCCGACTATTAGGACCAAGAGTACTCAGGAGAAGAAATGTCGCGAGAACGTTGGTAAGCATGCGTTAGGGTCATGCGTGGTTGTGCAATTCATGTTAAGAAGTAGCTAGAGTCACGAGGTAAAATTTGTAGTTTTGTGCTCCCCTCGAGTCAAGCGATTAGTCACTTATGGTTGGAGGCATTACAGAGTCTCGTTGATAAGTAATCAAGCAAGCGTTTGTAAAGATAACAGGACTCGCAGTGTTGTGCCCGATGTAGTTGTGTATACCGAGCTAGCTGAGTTCAATTATAATTATATCAACGCGAAGACTATGCCCTGCTTCGAAGCCTGGACGAAGACTATGCCTTTTTTCGCAGTCCGGACGAAAACTATTCCCTTTTAGGATCCCGGATGAAGACTATGCCCTTTTCTGGAGTCCGGACGAAAATTATGCCCTTTTGTATGTTCTAGACGAAAACTATGCTCTTTTGGAGTCCCGGACAAAGACTATGCCCTTTTCTGAAGTTCAGACGAAGACTATGCCCTTTTCTCGAGTCCAGACGAAAACTATGCCCTTTTTTTCTAGTCCGTGTGAAGACTATTATATTTTTTCCGAGTCTGGACGAAGATATTGACTTTTTCTGGAGCCCTGATGAAGTACAAGTCATTTAAGCTCACCTTACATTTGTATTTGTAATTAGATATATAGTCAAATATACTTANGGCGTTGAAACATTTATAGCTTGGTATACCCATTGCATCGGGCGCTCTATTGTAAGCCAGTACTTTTCTCTTGATAATGCTTTGCTATTATGCACAATTCGCTCGTTACAAGGTACAAAAAGGGTGAAGCCGGTTACATTTTCAAGTATCGAGCGGAATATTAGTCATCCGGAAAAAAAAAAAAAAAACGTATCGATGACTGTATCGCGTGTAATTATACGTTTAAATGAAACGATGGATAATTATAGGTAGCACGTACCTACTAAACAATTCATTTTTCAACGTTGCTAAACAGCCTATATATATAATTAATGTTTGTAAGACATGCATGTTTGGATTACAAAGTATTTCTTAACACATAAATAAATAAGCAGGTTTTAATTAATTACAGTTATTGTTATATACAATTTACGGAATCATTAAAAAAAAGATCGAAAACCCCTTTTTTCAAACATTTACCAAAACTCCAAATACTTAAGCCGTTAGACCTGCTAAGAATAATGATTACATGTTTTTTTACAAAGGCGTCTGTAGATTTACGTACATGTGAATCTCGATGTGAAGATAAAACTTATATCGATATAAACATATACACAAGTATCGAGGAATCTGAAAATGTTAAATCGTTTTCAGAAGCTTCGTATTCGTGAGCTTATTCCAGAGTACTAGTAGCTAGAAGAGGGGTTCGTATATAATATGGGGGTGTTTTTTAATCTAGTTTTCGTCTGGACGAGAGAAAAAGACATATTTTTAGCCCAGACTCAGAAAAAATGGCATAGTTTTCGTTCGGACTAGAAAAAAGGGCACAGTTTTCATCCGGGCTTGAGAAAAGGGCATAGTCTTCGCCCGGACTCGAAAAAAACGGGCATAGTCTTCGTCGGGGACCAAAAATGGCATAGTTTTCGTCCGGACTAGAAAAAAGGGCAAAGTCTTCGCCCGGGACATTGAAAGAACATAGTTTTCGTCCAGGGCCAATTAGGGCATAGTTTTCGTCCAGGGCGTCGATATGTTAACAAAAAAATTTAATTCTTATAACTTATCGTCCCATAGACTCAAGCAATATATGATTTTACAAAATCCTAAACTAATTTTCCATTTACATAGATATAAAATTTTATTAATGGCACGGCATGTATTGCATGAATGTAACTTTCCGAATTTACGATAAGCTACAGAGGTTTAAATCATCGATTGAATTGCATCATAAATTTGTTTCTTTACTTTGAATTCGATAAAAAGTAACTTAGAGGAGTAGATTGAGTTTTATAAAAAAATCATTAATTATGTCTGTTAATGAGTGCGGGTAAGCTATAATAACAAATAGAGGATAAGCAGCTATGTAAAAAGTGCAACCCAATGCAAGTAACAAAAAAACTACCTAATTACACCTCACTTTTTGAGGGAGCCCTGCCAAAAAAACTATATAATACAAGAGAAAGTGTGTGTGTGTGTGTTGAACATTAAAAAAGGGTATCTATAATAAATTTAAAAAAAAATAAATAAATAAGTTACAAAAAAAAATCAAAAATGCTAAAAATAAAATATGAAACATATCTCAAAAACTGAAGCTGAAGAAATTCGTATACTTTTAAAGGAAAGGCAAATATTAAACAAAAACTCTGTTAATCCTTTCGTTATAGCACTTTAAATACAGTGGAGAACTATAACATTTAGAGTATTTCTAAACAGCATAGTAAACGGTTGTTATAACTGTCTTTGAAGACTCTTCGGAACACCTATATCCTACTTAACAAAATTAAAAGATAGCTTTGTTAAAAAAAAATTCTTGGACCTTATAGCTTTTGATCTATGTCAACAGCGGTTAATTTACGACTAATAGTGAGTTTTGGTAGAGTTGTTCGAGTATTATCAAACCAATTTTATACTTTTGCACTTAAACATCAAGTTGATAGATTAAGCAAAAAGTTTAAAACACAGTGTTGAAGATGAGAAATACAGCAATAAAATAATTACCTTTCAATGAGTGGAGCTCGCATAATAGACGTAATTGCGTTCAAGGAGCTATCATTAAGTTTAAAGACACTTTCAATAACAGAAATTTCTGTTGATGTGGTATCCATACCACAAAAAGATATCCAGTCGTTAACAACCATTCCAGCAGCAATCACATCACTTCCCCTATTTATTGTTCCAGCCTAAAAAAATTAATTATTATTGCTTGAATGTGACTCAATTGACACTGTTATTAATGAGAAAGTACGTTTGAAACATGAAGCTGATCAAAAGAATTTCAAAAAGGATCATAATATAAATTATTACTGCATTTTTCACCCCTAAATATTTTAAGTATAGTAATCTTGAAGTAAGTAGTACTAAAATAACAGTAACTACTTTCATATTGAAATTTGTTTGAAAGATAAGAATTCTTTAACTTGTCATAAATAACTTTGTGTTAGACAAAAAGTAACGGAATTAAATTTGAATTGCTTTATTATAAAAACATTTTTGAACACTAATGTTGACTTTCAAAAGTTACAGATGTACAAATAAAGAACAATTCTTGAAAATATGCACTACGGAAAAATATTTTTTGTAATAGCTCTGAAGTGAAGCTCATTAAGTATTGAACCATGTTTCACGCATGAATAAACGTGTTATTAAATAAATAAAAAAAGGTTTGGTTCTATCTAATTTACTTTAAATTACTTTTATCAACATAATTAGTTCAAAAACTTTACTGTGAGCGATTTTTTCGATTTTTAACCCCTACTATTGATTAACAACTATTAAAAATTAGAATTTTTAATGTTTTTATTGCATCAAAGTAACAATTTGCAAACGAAGGACATAATATTAATCATCATAAACATTATAACAATTTTTTAAATCTTGACTGTTATATCAAAATAAAATAAAAACTAATGTTTTACAAAACGAATAAGAAGTATTTTGTTATACGTGAACTTGATTTCCCACCGTTCTTCCACAGCTTAAAAATCACTATTATTCAACCAAGCTACTTTCTTCCTTAAACTGTTCACGGTTTTCGGATACGACTTCTGAAGTGTAATCAATGTTGCTCCTTGAAAATTATGCTCTATAAAACTTTTTGTGCAAATGTCAATACAAAAGTATTAAATAGTTTCGAATAAGCATAAGATTGTTAGATATCTGTGAGCGTAAAAATAATTTTAGAAATGTTTAACTCTCAATTTTTTTTTGGATGTACTAACTAAGATATGATATTTTCAAAACAAAAAAAAGGNTATATATATATATATGCTTTATTCTACATCATATTAATAAATATTGTTTTCTTACCACTAACGGTACTTGTAACAAAGAAGAAAGTTCATCTTGATCTTGTATGGATGTTTTAGGATGCACAAGTCCGCCTTGATTAGATAAAATAGAATAAGAACCAACTAGAACATTGCTTGCAACTGTTTGTCTGAAAACTTCCACATTTAATGTATCGGTTAGAATTTCCTCTGTTTCCTGTTAAACAAAATATATTTTATACTACGTAATAAGTTAAATATTAGGTGTAGAAAAGCTCCACGTAAAAAATACATTATAATAATAATAAGATGGATGGCAATAGTATAATAATTAAGGTATGACACACAGAAAGATTCATGATAAATTCTACAACTTGACTAGATCACAAACAATACATGATTAAAAATTAGGTTCGAAAATATTTTGAATTTATATTCAGAATACCATATTATGCTTAAGAGTGTTGTTTTGCTCATTTTGTTGTAAGTAAAAAATTTCAACTACCTAACAAGGTAATATAAAGTTTATTTAAGAGTTATGCAAAACTATTGAATTCCTTAAACTAAAAAGTTATACATCGATGCAAGCGAGACCCAGCAATAAAACTTGTCTAGATGTAAGTAGATTGGCATTGTAGAAAAGTTACCGAAATTTTTTTAAGTCATAAATTATTAGACAGATGCTCAGAACACATGCTTTAGCGCAACAATTCTAATTTACTGAATTGCTTCTTTACTTTTTCTTCACAATAATCAAGATTATTATTTTGAACATACGTCCTTGACAGGTTAATACATAATTCAGTATTGAAAGAGGTATTTAAAAATTTCTGATTTTCGAAATTTTTAAAATTATTTTTATGGATTGAAGCTATGATTTTCAAGTAACAATTTTTTTTAGAAAACCACTTTACTTTCTAACTTAAGAAAAAAAATTAGATAATAGAAATACAATGTTACTCTACAAGGTACACAAAAAAAATTGAAACATTTGTTGTCAAATCACTTGGCACATATTTGTGGTTTTTAGAGTGTTTATCTAAAAGTTCCACCATTCATATATTTGTCAAATAATATAATGACGAATGTATTAGTATTGCTTGTGTACCTTGTAGAGTCACATTCAATTTTTTTTTAGATAGAGAGAGTTAAAAATTTGAGAGTTTCGTGATTTTTATCTTAAAGACTCATCCAACGCTCATATCTCTGGTTCTTTCCAAGCTAGGGTGAATTTTTTTTATTTTGAAAATAATAAAGTAAATTTCAAGAAAAAAATATTTACAACAAAATTTATAAACAATTTCATACTATTATTATGAAATTGTTTATAAATTTTGTTGTAAAAATTTTTTTCTTAAAACTGCAATCATCGTATTCTACGTCAAATTTTCTATAGAAAACATGTTTTTTATTAATGGAGACATTATTATTACTGGGAGAGATACATTAATTTATGTAGCACGGGCGCGGTGAGTCGTATCGGCGCACGGGTATCTCTGCACGCCTCTCATTCTAAGCCTACATCGTTTTTCTTAATAACATTAATGGTTATCAAAATAACAGTATGTTAGTAAGTGAAAAAACATATTTATTTCTATTTTTAAACATGACTTTTAATAAACTAATTGTCTACTTAAAGATTTTTACAATTGCTGTTTTATCATTTAATGAAAATATTTTTGCTTTTAGTCTCTGAAGAGAGATTGGTATCATGCAATGGAATTGTAAAGTGCCGTTTATTGTTGAAGCTTTTTGAAATCGTTCTGACAATATTTGTTCTTTTCCATCATACGAATGTTGAATAACGACACGTTATGCTTTGCGAAACTACAGTTGCCCAAGTGAATAATTCTTGGGGTGTTTGAATAGGATCATTTATCCTTTGCAGACTAGCTCTGGCAGCAAGTCGTTTTAACGTCCTACCTATTTCATTGCATTGTCCCTTGCCATGAGAAGTAGGGGAAAAATGTCATTCGGCTAATACTCCAGAATCTTCAACATGATAAGTACGATTAATAAAGTTTTTCTTGTTTCTGTACTGTGCGTTTGCACCATCCAAAGAATATATTAATTTATCAACACCTTGTAAATTTGTCTAAATAAATTCTTCAAGTTATTTTTGAAAAATTTGAGCAGCAACTGTATTATCATGACAGCATCTAGAAATGCAAACGAAACTTTTGACATTCAAGTCATCTTTTCCGTCTTTATAGTAAATTGAAAAAGAATGTACAGTTGCTTGATCATTATCCCAGTGAACACCTTGTACGGAATGTTGTAAAACAAATGCATAGTTTTTGCAAAAATCACGTACAACAATACATTTATTCTTTATTAGTTTTTTTTTCTTTAAGTCTAACAATTTCATTTGTTTTTTGACCAAAAAAGAATGAACCAGCAATTTATTTTAGCTGTTACTTAAAAGTTGTAAAAATTCATCTACACTAGATATCAAAGTTTGTAGAAAAGTTTTATGTATTGTCACCCACTGTCTGTATTGCACATTTTCGATGAATTTGGTATCGAAATTTTGTTCCAATTTTTCGAAAATATTATCTACACCAGGCACTCATCGCATTATCCCAAAAAATAATTGGTAGATTAAATATCACACGTCATACTATTTAAACAATCGTGATGATTAGTTATTGGTCTTTTGGAGTCAACTGTGATACATTTTAAACTCGCTCTATCTATCATGAGTTAAATATTTTCATGTATTGGACACACACATACCGAATGAGTGCCACTGGCTTCTGCCGGTACTCAATGTTTTGGTCGTATGCTACCAAACTTTGAAAAACTATACTTTATGTTCGAATATTTTTTTCTAACTAGTTCATACAATTCTTTTAAATTATTCGAAATCAGTCGTTTCTGCAAGTGTATTTTGTGCCATACACTATCACGGAGACGAAATCTTTTTCACCGGGCATCATTTGTGTGTGTTTATCAGCTTGATAGAAATTCGTTATACTGTTAACAAAATCCACTCCTAAAGATGGATGACTTTTGGAACTTGGATTGCCTAATCTTTATTTATCTTAAACAACATTTTTTGCAACAGTTAGATTCCGATTAGCTAGCTGAGGGAAAGTTTACCTGGATTTTCTAATGAGAACAGTGTCTGAAAATAGTCAAAATTTTCACTTTATAACATCAGTCTGTACTAGTCTTAAAACTTTCTTGTAAGGTTTTTAAAATTGTGACATCATCATCAACTTTATCAACATCATCTGGATCACTGATGTTTACATGAAAAACTTTCTGTTTGATTGGCTTAGTAATTTTTGTAACTTTCGCCTCAGAATACCGTTTTTGTTTTAATTTGTGCTTTTTAAAAGGTCATGATCCCAAATCCTTTATTTAATCGATCAAAACAGTCATTGAATAACTTTTGGTTTTCACCTGAAGATCCCGAAATTCCATCACTACTCAATTGTACATCAGATACTTCGTTAGATGACTCTACTTCATCTTTCTGCTGTAAACGATAAAACCTGATTTTGAGCATCAAAACTTAATTAAAAAATAAGTATACTCCATGGATCTTATGTCATATAATTAATACTATTTTAACTTCAGCTGTATCTTCAATTTTTTTAAAACACTTTTTGAGACGTGGAGGCAACAGGAATTGCAAATTTTTTGTTGTAAAGCCTCAGCAGTTATTCGTACATTAGGTTGACGTAGCTGATCTGTAGTAACTTTTTGCAATCGCGACGCTTTACTTTAGTGACCTTGAAATTCAAAGGGTTAAAACATTTGTCGGTGCGAACGTTCATGCTTATTGTTTTAGGCATCGTGTGGGTATTCAACTTTTCCAGTGCGGGCGCTTTCACGTGCGTGTCAGCCAAAATAATCGAGATAACTCGTTGCTTTTCTAAAATACACACTTCAAAGATAGTTTCGTAACCTATAAATTTATATACGTGAGTCCAGACGAAGCCACAAATTCCAAGGAGTTTTCACAAAAGTTTTTATCAACTACCAAACAAAGATCAGAAAAACTATTGATTAAAAAAAAATAATAATAAAACGATTCTAATAACAGCTTTCAAATAAAACTTCCAATGCTTTTACAGAGAAAAAGGTAGTAACTCTAAAAATGTACTACATATACTGGAAATTTCAGGCCAGCGTGCCAGCCATGGTGACCAGTATATCTTGAGCACGTGTTGCTATCTGTAGTTTATTCGTAACCAAAATCCACCAAATTCAAAAGTACAAACCAATAATGAAACGACAAAATAGACTAATAGTTTGATAACCATTAATGTTATTGAGAAAAACAATGTAGGATTAAAATGAGATAAGATGTGCCGCGCTACATGAATGAATGTGTCTCCCCCAGTAATAATAATTCTTAATTCATTAAAAACATGTTTTTCATAGAAAATTTGACGTATAATGCGATGACTGCATTAAATAATCGTTAAATTTAGGGACTATAGTTAAAAATCGATTTCAACATGTAAATTGTTGATAACAATATGAAATTGTTTTTAAATTTTGTTGGAAATATTTTCTTTTTAAAATTTACTTTGTTATTTTTAAAATAAAAAAAAATTTACCCTAGCTTGCAAAAAAACCAGAGTTATGAGTGTTTGATAAAAATGAGGAAACTTTAAAATTTTTAAATCTCTTTATTAAAAAAAGAATCATCTTCGAATAGGTATATTTTTTTTCGGTTTAGAGCATATAAAAAAATTTTTAGCCAAATAAAAAATGTGACAGTCAGAACAGTGTTAGGTTTGTAATGGAATTAGCCATATATCTATTAAAACTAAGCTTGCGAGTGAATGCTCGGGTCCTCGGTAGCTTAAGTGGTAGAGCAACTGTCTAGTAAACTGGAGGTTATGTGTTCAATCTACACTCAGGGATAATATATTTCTCATTTTTACTTATTTCTTGACATAGAAGACAGTAACTTTGAATTTTTAATCTTTAGCGTATTCGTTATCAAAATGGGCATGCGTAATTTTAAGAGTGCTAGTATAAGAGTGTCGCCATCCATATATGTCCCAATTGATATGATAATTAACGCATCGAAATTCCTTGTGTATTTTGTAGAGTCACATTAAATTTTTAAGTTATCAAAAAGTATTAGAATCATTTTCCAATGTATTGCAAAGAAACCGGTGTAAGGACTACTTCATCTTTACTTGTAAAGCATATGTAGCCCCTCTTTACGTCCCTTAGTAGCACAAAATTTAA